AGTGTCTGAGATGATTCTTAACCCATACAACATTTGCTTTGTGTCATACACTCATTCTATCTTGTTTCTAGTTGATGCGACAAGGTTGCAGAGATACAGGCTTTTCTTAACTATCTATAAATAACATTGGATAGGTTTTCCTTGTTTTATATTTATTGATACATTACAGGGCGCCGAATGGAATACAGCTCTTTTGAAAAATGTCCCATGGGTAGGAAGCTGCGGGTTCGGATTTAAAGTTTCAGTCTTTGTCAGATCCGAGTTCAATTTGTTTTGCACCCACGGCTTCTACCCATCGGATAGAGAGTTTTTCATCCCATGCGAAGCTCTAATACGTTCTATATAAATCTAAACAAAGGAGATTTTTTTTTTTTTTTTTTCGTTATAATATTAGACATTTTGAATTTTAGAACTGGTGGTATTCCAGCACTAACAGCTGATGGTCAAAGATTGTATCTTTATGTTGGTATCATCGATATACTACAGTCATATCAATTACGAAAAAAAATTGAACATAGATTTAAATCTGTGATAACCGATGGAGTAAAACATAAATAAACATTGTGAAATTTTACATTGTTTTTTTTTTTTTATATTTAATTTAGTCACAAATATCCGTCACACGTCCAAGTTATTATTCTGAACGATTCCAAAAGTTTCTTTTCCATACTGTATTCAAAAAAGCACTACGTATATATTGTAGAATAGTTTTATTACTTAATAAAATATTCGAAGAAAACAAACAATATCAATATATAATTTGATTTTCTTTCATTTCTAGCAAGACAGTCAAAACCAGATGTAATGACAGGATCAAGACAAACAATAAATAATAATCTTTATACAAATCCACCAACGAATAATACGTATAAAATTAATTCGTTTTCTTTTCCTTTTTATTCATATGTTTTTTTTGTTTTTACAAATTAGTCCTTCAATAAAGTCATTGAATGGTATACCGTATACTATTCCATCGAGATTAATTTATTCAACTTCAAGTTCAAGTGCAGGAACAACAAATAGTCGTTTAACAATGAATGGTACACCAATACGATCATCAAAACAAAGTGAACAAAGAAATATTCATGGAAGTTCAACAACATTTTATGCTAGTTCACAACAGTCAGATTCTTTATTTAATGAACCAATACATAGATCATCAGGGAGAGTTTTAACAACAAGACTTGACACTAATCATACAGATAATTCAAGAATGAAATTTTATCGAGATTTATCAACACCACCAATTATTGATGTTGAAAAACGTCATAGTTTATTAGCAAAGAATGGAAATGTTGGGAAAAAAATCACATCATCTACTACTAATATATCACAACGTAAGAATTTTATTTTTATTTAAAAATATATACTCTCCATGTTCTTTATAAATTTTTGGAATTCGAAAATCTATAGATATCGTATGATAAACAATACTTATCTATCCAATCGCTTGTTGTTTGAGATTATTACCATTCGATTTGGTCATGATGAATAGTAAAAAACTCTGGTTTTTCGATATTCGTCTATCAAATTATGGATACTTTTAGCATCGAACTGCTAAGAATCTATATGATCGAATTTTGAGATGAAATTTTGTTCTCAGATCAGACCTTATAGTCATTAGAAATACTCTAAAATTTGAGCCATAACAAGCGTCTCCTTAATAAGATATTTACATTTTAAACGAACACCTGTTTTGGGCCACATTTTAAAAGAAGAACGTTTCGTGACAAGTTCAATACGTTTATTCTATCTCAAACTTTGGGATATTTCTAGTAGAACTCCAAGGTTTCAAGAAAATCGAACCAGTCCGAAAAGTAGCTATCGAGGGATAAATATCACCATTTAATTAAGTATGGTGAATTATCTCTGCCTATCTGTTGTTTAAGATAATCACAGATTAATTAGCTGAAATCGGAAATCTTAGAAAATGGATTATAACTCTCGAATGAAACCGGTTAGGAATGTTGATCTTGTATAGATTGAACTAAAAGAAGTTTTTCTATTGATAAGTCCTATTGATAGTTTAAATCGAAAGGAAAATATTGTTTCCGAAAATCTTCATCAACAACTCACTTGATGGTTCAAGTGTTGATCAATTAAATCTCGATATACTTCGATGGCCTTATCTCCTCTCTGTTGAATAGTGAAAATTGCAGACCTCTACAATGTTCCTATCAAGAGCTATCAAAAAAAAAAAGGCATTGCCTTGCCTTACATTTTTGCGTCGATAATAAATTAGCAGTTTCCATAATGCTTGTCAGGAAGCGAATTCGCAGCTTAGAGGATCGTCAGACTTCCGCCACAAGAGACTTTATCAGTATTCATCATGATCGATCAAATGAAAACCATCTCAAGCAAAAAGCAATCTGACATGTGGAAACATTTCTTCCGTTAGTTAATATTCAATTCCATGTTAAGACATCGAATCTTGTAAAATCTCTGATATACTTGAAAACTATGATGCTTACTTATGTTTGAAAGTTTTTTGCGGGAATAGGCAAATGAATTTCTTCTTGAACTTCAAGATATTTTATTTCGAAAATTTCTATAAAGAAAAGAAAGCGATTTTTTTAACATTTTCATACTTAATATATTAGAAACAAATCGTCAGTTTTCCATGACATAAATTTTTTTTGTCTTTGCTGTTATATAGAAGAATAAAGAAATCTTTTGTGTATGTTTTTCTTCTAATCAATAATATAGAATTTCAAACTTTCTATCACAAAAAGAAAGGCTTGCTCAATTTGTCTATTTTTATTTGGATAAGAAGTAGTAACATGTAGGAAGTTGTTGACAGTTTATGCATATTTATTTGTCTGACACCACTTAACTAACATTAGATAGAACACTCTACAAGGTTAACTTTACAGACAATCTAATTATAGCTATACAGTTTGATGTATTATTTGTTTATATTAATTAAAGTTGATCGATATTGAATTATGACAGTCATTTATTACGAAGGTTTCAGTTATTTATTCATGAATATTAGTAAACATTTACGACTATCCTAAACGGAAAACAAATACAAATCTGAATTGATTAACATGTAGGTCCCTCTGAGTTATGCTCACGGACATGGAAAAAAAGTATCTATAAAATTCTACAAACATTGGCTACTGAATCGTTTCTTCGAACATTTTTTTTCTCTTGGACACGAATAATTAGAAAAAATTTACTATTTTTTCGGTGTTTCTATATAAGCAGCAAGTAAAGATAGTGGTCTTTTGAAAATATTCATACTCAAGAGAAAATAGTAATCAAGGCATCTCTATTCAAAGTTTGTAGAATGCCTGTATACTATAGGAAATCTTCATAATCATGTGTTCCATGAAAATAGCTAATTTCCTTTTGAAAAGTATAAAAAGCGGATGTTCGTAAGGGTTTTTATAGACACTTGTACTGTGTTCGTAAACATAACTTAGGAAAACTCTTCTTATGGATAAAATCAACTCTATGTTTGCTTTCCAATAGTAGAGTTCGTGTAGTTTACTTCTATTCATTATTCTTTAATATCTGCCATGTTTAATTTCGTTTGAAAGCGAATCGATTGATTTATTCTGTCTAAAATAAATTAATTTTGACAATAATTATATTTTGCTTAATTATATATATATTCTAATTTTAGGCAACAATTTATTAGAGTATTCTAAAAAACATCATCAACAAAATCATCAATCATCAGAGGAAATAGTATGTATTAGAATATAATTATATTTCTATATTTATTTTTCTTAAAATATCAAAAATAAACAGGTTCATAGTAAAATTTTTGTTTTTTCTTCTATTATTTTTTTAGACTCGGCTTTGATATACAAACAATTTGATGCACAAGAATTTTTTTGTTATAAACAAACGACAAAAACAAAAAAAAAAAAAAAAAACTGTAATCGTATCAATTGAGTTTTCTTGTTTTCTAAATTTATAATGTAGATACATGTTTGTATGTGTCAAAATTTTTATTGTATTTTTAAATAAGATTATTTTTGTTTGCAGATGAACAACAAAAAAAATTCAAATTCAAACTTTTGTTTTAATCCCGGTGTTTTTCTATATGAAAGGATAAATTAATTTTACGAAAGCTATAAGTTTTTCTTTTTTGTCTTCTTTTTTTTGTGTATTAAGGTTTTTTTCTGTTATTATTAATGTGACTCTTTTTTTTTTAGTTTATGTTTTCAGCTTTTGATATTATGCTTTTTGTTTTTGTTGTTTTCTAAATATTAAATTTTATTTTCAAATAAAATGAATATGAATATAAGTTTGTAATCGATGTTTTTTTTTTTCTTTTATTTTGAAATATTTAGGAAAAATATGTAATTTGAACAGTGTTTTTTTTTCTTTGTATCCCGATGATTGTCGCCGAATGAGTTGAAGGTACATGGAATTTAATCATGGGACGAGTCGTCTAAATGAAATCAACGGTAATCCATGATAATCTTCGAAAACAAAACTAATTATAAAAGGAGTATGTTATCAACAAACATGATGTAATTAGCGTAGAGATTATTAATTCTGAAAAGTAGACAATTTGTATTATTCTCTATATTTGAAAGGCAAATAATTTGTCTAATTAAATACCACTTTTACTAACTAACGAGAAAGCTGTTTCAATTAAATATTCTCTTTAGAATTTGGACACTGTGAATAAGTAATAGACTTCAGTGAGATAGAAAAACCTTTAGAATGATATGTTCGCTTAGACCTTCTGTCTAGAACTACTGGCGTTTTACTAGAATTTTAGTCTATGGCTTAGCGTATACAAGTAAATCGAATGATGATAGTTCGACCTGAGATTTTGTTGACAGATAAGTCTATTTATCAGTAAAATGCTCTAAGAATTTCAGTTCAAAATAATGTTGCCTTCCTGAGATATTAAAAACTTTCATATTCCATGAAAGATGCTAGATTTTCCTCTTTTTAGGACTTAAATATCTCGCGCAGAAAACATTATTTTGAGTCAAAATATTCAGGGCAGTCTACTGATAAATAGACCTATTTGTAATTGACATACCATCATTCACTTTGTTCGTATATACTAAGTGAAAGGCTAATATCTAATAAAATGTCTCTAACTCTGAACAAAAGGTCTAACCGAACTTATTCTTTCAATATCTTTTTATATTTTACTTGAATCTACCTTATGTATAGAGTCTGAATTCTGAAGCGATAATTGTTCAGTTAAAATCGTTTTCTTGTAAATGTTTCATAAATGAAACATTAACAGTTTGAAATTACTAACAATTATCACTCTTAATATTTAAAATAAACTAATTGTGTAATTTTAGGTTTAGTACCAAACATTAAAAAAAAAGCAACATTTGACTTTGCATTCAATATCAAATGTGAGAAAAAATTTCAATTGTTAAGCAATTGGAAGTCTTATATGAATGTTCGTTTTTGCTTTAAAACAAGACGTTTATTATATAACTATACTTTCATATATTTAGAAAATCGAACTATGTGACATTTCGAAGGTCATTCTTACAGAGAAAAAATCCTAAGCATTACTTGGTACACAGTGTTCTATGCAGTATGGGAGCTAAACAGGTGGCCAACATCCGAACATCGGGTAGGCCCTCGCGGCGTTTGTGATTATTGTAAAATATATTGTGTCTGTGTTCATGAAAATTGATATGTTCGTCCTTCTTGAATTTTAAATAGTCCTTTGAAAAGAAAAAGACCTGGATAAAAACCATTTCTATTTATCATTCTTCTATTCTACAGATCAAAATAAACGGCATATCTATTTTTTTTTTACCATCTATTATCATTTGGTCACATACTTATCTTACAAATATTCAACTTATTCTGAAAGTTTAAGAAGAAATTACACTAAGAAACCTATACATAAGGCATATTTTTGAAATTTCTCAGTAACTTTTCCGACTAACGAGGGAGGTACCCGAAGTGATTAATCGGTTTTGAGTTCGAACTCTGTGTATAAGGTAGATCCCAGTAAGATGTGAAAAACCCCAAAAATACAAGGGCCCATAGGCCTTTCGTTCAGAGTTATAGCCATTTTACTGGAATTTTCGCCTATAGCATAGTATACGCTAACAAATCGAATGACGATATTTCGATCTGAAATTTCGTCTACGAATAGGTCTACTTGTAACTAACGTGCTCTGAAAATTCCAGCTAAAAGATATGTTTTCTTCACGAGATATTGAACCTTGAAAAATACAGGAGCCTC